ATATATACCTACAAAGTCTGTAGGAAGAAAAGACATGAGAGAAGAAACAGAAACAGATGACAGCATGAAAATGTGTTGGGTTGTTTGATATTTTAAACTTCATACAGATGTTTATGAGGACTCCTAGCTATACGCTGAACACTTGGAGCTCTCTGAAAAAGTAGCATTCATATGTAGAAAAGAAAGATTTAAACTACTAGTGGCAAAGATCCTATCAAATTCAGTGAGGCTATGACTGCATCTCAGTATTTCAGAAAAATCAAACACACTGAAGTTAAGGGAAAGCATCTCTTTCTTCAATTTACATGTAGGCCTGATTCTGACAGTCACTCAGTTTTATCAATCAAGAATTAACAAGCAAGCAAAGTCAAATTTGAATTAAAAAAACCCCAAACAACAAACAAAAAACAACCCATCCCCCCCAAAAAAATCCCAAACAACTCAAAACCATCAAATGTACAAATCTGGACTTATACATACAAAATTTAAGTTTTTGACATGTGGAATAACTAATAAGTCAGAGTCACAGTGCTTGGTGTAAACATGTATTTCTATATAGAAAAGGCAACCAAATAATACCTGTTATTTCTCAGTCAACTGAATTATAATCATGAACAAGGACTAAAACACTAGATTCTTTATTAAGAAATAACACACAGAAAAAGAAAGAGTTTGCTTTTTTACTTCTTTGAATAAAAATAACTTTGATGATAAACCAAAGCAGAAAGATACATTTTTACTTGTGGAAACAAAGTGATAGTTGCAGGCTGTACTAGAAAGGAAGCTTTTTGCTGATTTACTTTTGTTTTAGTTAGAGAGATTGCAATACTGGTTGACTTCCACAGTACTCTGTGACTACAGATTGTACAAGCTACACATATTATACTACACACACAGTATTCTGTATTCAATGACTGTGATTAATTTATAAAATTATATTAAAAAATTTGACATCTTCAGTAAGTACTATCTTCTTTCAAAGAGGTTCCAATACTTTTAATGTGAAATTATTATAGAAACGTCCAATTATTTATGGGATTCAGGCTGACAAGCCATAAGCTTAAGTCTCTATACTGAATGCATATTCTACATAGCTATTAGTGTTACTCATATACAGTCCCATGAGAGATTTGGGTAATGCATTAATAAACATAATTTCTAACCGTGCATTGGGATTGCTCTTATTAATTTTTCTCCTTCAAGTATGAAATGCAAATAATGAAAAGTAGAATTTGCATCTTAACTTGACTTACATGTTATCTCTGCTTTGCACCTTAGGAAACTGCCAGATACTAAGTTACAGTCAAAGCTTTACCAATACCATCACAGTTTCCTGGAATCAGAGTAATTTTATTTTACTTCCTGACTCAATCATGTTTTGAACTCTAAAACCCATCCTTTATCACACTTTAAAAACATGTAAATTGCAACCCACAGGTTGACTGTTATCCACTGTAAGTAACATCTGTCTGCCTAAAGAAGCATTTCCTTTCATTGGGTATCTCAGATTTTAAAAACAACCTGCTAGAGAACTGGATAAACCTGAATATTGGCAGTTCACTGACCAACTAATTATTCTGAATTTCTGCTTTACCTAAAGGACATCTTTATCTCACCAAGTAATTAAACAGTTCATTCAGCAAAGCTTGTTCCACAAATTCTAGTTCAGTTCTTTGCTGATCTCATATCTATACTACTTTCACTAAGCTTAATATTACCCAAAGCATGCTTCCAAGTGTCATTGAAAATGTAGATTTAGTGCTTGCATAAATTGTCACAGTAATAGTAGACGTCTATATAGAGAAATACAATTCAATTCCTTCTCCTGACACTGCATCCACACATAAAGCATGAGAAAGGCAGTACTCCTTTTGCTCTAATTTCTATGTTAAACTGATTTTTATTTGCATTCTTCTCAGTATTCTTGGGCACATCTAAGAATATATTTTCATTCCAAAGAACTAGATTATTGCTACACAACTGGCCTCAACACCCATAAATCTAAAGTATTTGTGGAAATAGAGTCCTTTCTTTTCTCATGACTATATTTATTTTAGATGCTTTTAACTCTAAGCATACGCAGTATTTTCTTACCATGCTTCAAAATCTTGGGAGAAATATATGAAGATTAAGACATAATTCCTATTATGTGATAGCAAATACTGTGTTGAAAATCACTCTATTTTCAAAAAAATATCTGAAAGCCAAAAAGAAAATAAGAACTTGGATGCCCTCCTTCAGTAAAGAGGCATTTTTTTTTTTCTGATTTAGGATCTTGTATCAATCGACTTAAGACGCAGCAATACAAAGACAGCATCAGGCTCTTGATGTTTGGTTTGTAACTGCTTTTTCACTGTCTGGCAAACATGAAGGAAGCACTGATGTCAGCAAAACTTGCAAATGGAAAATAATTCTAAATAAGCATTAATTTGTTAAAGCAAGAACTGTGGGATACAATTTTATGTGACAGCACCTTGAAGTCTTTACATTACAAGCAAGGAATCAAATCTTTCTGCAGGTCTGTGCAGGAAAGCTCAGAAATAAGTATTCATTAGTGCATTTGCAAATGTGATCACAATCTGTCATTTGATCCTCCTGCCAAACAGAAAAGCATGACATGCTTTCAAGGGCTGTACATCTCCCATATTTGTGATGGAGCATTTCCAAAGGCGAAAGAATTTAGAGGTTAACTTCCTGCCCAGCTCCCCACCGCTCCAGCAGGCTGGGGTGGTTTGCTTGAATTAGTAATTTTTTGCTAAGAAGTGACACAATACTGCAAAAAAATTTGGGCAGGACCCCAATGTATCATTAGGTTACGATAAAGCCTTTCACACTATGTAGGACCCTGTCTCTGCCAGTACAGTTCAGTAAGACCCAGCCTTATTGAACAGGCTTCATAGAAAGAAACATCTGTTATTTGCAAACTGGATTATGATACTAACTCAACGTCCCCCTTCCTTTGACATGCTATAAGGTGAAAATCATTGGCCAAGCAAGTTGACTGAAAGCTTGATTAGCAGCTTGCAAAAGACTGAAGACAAAGTTTGAAGCCCAAGAACTAAGCAGGGACACTGAGAAAAATGATCAGCAAAATGGTAATTATTACAGTTTGGCTTTTGTAACGTTCCAAATAAATGGGGAGATCTAATGTCTGCTTATTTAATCAAAAAACTAGCACTACCACTGTATTTTTAACTAAAGAAAAGATTAAAAACCACATTCCAGTGTCAAGCCACATCACATTTGATTTCTGAAGTCACCAGGTATCATAAAGAAACATGGATCTTTCATTGCCAGATAGATCTTCACAGTACTGGAAGGCATGTTTCATGCCTAGCAACGTTGTGATCTGCAGTACAAAGCTGTTGTTTACAATAAAATTCGTATATATTTAACACAAAATGAAAAACAGGAATAGAGGTTGATAGAATGGATGTTCCATATGGCGAGCCTTAAAATACGACTAAGCATGTTATAGCCAAGAAGAAGAACCACTTCTCAAATTCAGCTCTGACTGAAAGCATATCAGAAATATATTGCACAGTATGAAAAATATAGTGTTGATCTGTTTTTTCTAAAATTTGCCTTACTTAAAGGAATTAAACCAAAACCATCAATATTCTCTTAATTATTCCCTTACACACAGGACTCAGATACTCATACACTAAGGATTATCCAACCCAAGGCCTCTGTATAGTCCTTTGCCATCATTTGCCTCTGTAGGTTGTCCTTCAACAATCAATACTGAAAAGAGTGAAATTATATTTCAGGCAAGCACACCCAGACTCTCAAAGTGAAACTGACTACATACAATGGAGAAAGAGCATTGTTCACTGTAACATAGACTCTAAAAGAATAGAAGAGCAGAATTTGACATTTTTGGGGGCTGCTCTAAAAAGATACATTTACTTTTTTACTAATAAAATAGGATTGTAAGATTAAACATTCCTGGCTGGCCTCAAGCAGCAAAGCCTCTATGTCAGAATAAGATAATTCTCGTGCTGATTAAAACAAAAATCTTTGTTATCATGGGAAATGTCTTTGTAGTCTAGTTGTGTTCGTGTCTGTTTAGTTATCCATTGGATATTACAGATAAAAGGGGAAAACAAGTATTTTCAAATCTAACTTACCATAGACCTTAAAAAAAAAAAGATCAATTTTTGAAAAAAATGCCACAAATCATATTGCGGTTCCGAGTTAATTCTATGCACAACTAAGCATCTCCCAGATCATGCGAAAATATTTCAAGAAGAGTGACATGAGAAGAAAAAGGCTTCTATTAAGTGTTATAAATTCCACTCCCCTCATGTTTAATAGTGAATTCTCTTTTCTCCCCATTGATCTTATTTTCAAAAGAAATCTATTCTGGTCTACTAAAAATGGTATTGTGAATTAATTTCCACTGAAATTACAAAGTTAGATTCACAGGATGGTGAGGCTGGAAGACACCTCTAGAGATTGCCCAGTCCAACCTCCCTCCTCAACAAGAGCAGGCTGGGTTTTGAATGTTTCCACAAATGGAGAATCTACAACCTCTCTAGACAAGCTGTTTCTGTGTTTTACCACCCTCACCATGAAAAAAGACACTCATGATAATACTACTTTCGATGACACAACTTAGCTGAAGCTGTCCATCTTAGTTTGACACCAGCTATAAATGTGTCCTTCTCTGCCTGCAGGGTTATATGGTAGCCTACGGAACATCAGTTTAGTAGGCTTCAATCTATTTGCTTAAAGTTATACAAGACAATTAAAGAAAATAATTTTATAGTTGTCGTTTTAGAGGTGTATTAAAATCAGTTAGTCATTTGGCCTGACAATCATTCACATCTATTCAAAGTTGGGTAAAATGACTGCAAATGACTACGCAGAACACAACACAAGCATATTTGGTCTGAAATATGAAACTGCATAAGAAAACACTCAAAAAACTAAAACCACAACCCCTCTGACATATATATATATATATAAAAAAAATAATACGTTTGAAAACTGCTTACTTTTCCTTGGCTGGCAGTTCTGTCTGATAAGAAGACATCTTAGATCCTGTGCTATCAGGCTTAGCTGTCCTTTGTCTTTGTTTTCTTCTTGGAGCAGTATCAATGACATCTGGGCTACCCAGAAGGGAATCTCTTCGTTCTGGCACTGCCAAAAGGAAAAAGATCAAAGTTGTTAAAACTTAAATATGAAGTATAACAACATATTCTTAAAACATTTTCTGTTCATTTTTATTAAAATCTCTATACTGCTATGATGAGTTCTGATTTTACAGCAGTTGGTGTCAAACCAAACAGATGACATAAAGGGAAATTCAAAAAGTAAAAATTTCAACTAGAAAGACAGTTTTCCCTCAACATCTCTTTTTAGTCTGTGGAGAGAATGATGGACAGTTATAAACCAGAAATATACTGATGGTCTGAAGACAACCAGATCCTTGCTAAGCTAAAACCCTCCCTTCCCTTGCTATTAACGCATTCAGTAGATTGGTAGACATTTTTATTCCAGCTATCAATATCCTCTAGCATGTTTCTATTTGGTATGTCTGCTCTAAAACTAAAATATTTACTTACTTTTAATTTTACAGATACTGATATCCAGAACAGCACACATTGCAACTGAAAAATATTAAATAATAATGTAGTGACTGAAGCTGATGCTATTATGGTAACTTCCCTGATTATTACTTTCTGTGTGTCTTAGGAAGATTTAATCTTCACATGGATGAAAGACACCATAATTTGAGATTCAATACTGAAGGTTTTCACAGAAAGCAAATAATGGGTCCTACTTCATCATTCCTTTCACAGTTGTTATCCATGTCTACTGAAAATGAAACAGGAAGAAAATATGCAACCCACAAGTCACATTTGCACTGTTTCTCAAAAAAATGTTTTTCTGACCAAGAATACTCCTAAATTAAACAGAGGCTATAAAATTAAATAAATACACTATAAATATTAAATATATAAATAGAGGGTCCCTTGAGCAAATGCAACTAGTGCTTACGGTGAAGCATACGCTTAAATATCAGAATGTTTTAGCTTTTACCATTGTGAACTACACACCATCGCAGATTTACAGATCTGTGTAGGGTGACTTTGTCAGATATTAGCTGATATATTTCCAAGGCACAAGTTAATTAACAAGTTCTAAAACACAGTACAGACAAGATACATTGCCTGTAATAAATGCTGAGAACAGTTAAATTACAGCCCAATCCTCCACACTAAACTTTAACTAGCTATGCATGCTTTTCCAGTGCTAAATCTTGAAAATACGTTCATGATTCTTAGTTACTACTCACTGGTAGCATGTTATATATCTAACATTTACACTAATACTATTTTATACATTCCAACATCACTTCCTAACGTCGACCCCCTTTGTATGTCTTAATCAATACACGTAAAATAGTTCACTGTCAAGAATCAAACTTGAATAATTTTACTACCATAGCTTTCATCTTCCTTGTTGCTGTTCTCCTCCCACACTCTCTGCTTTTGCCAAAAAGCAGAACCAGAAGTAGCTGTATATACAAACCCTACAAAATGCTGTTGTTAAATAATGCCTGTGGGCTTTTACTTGTGTAAAACGCAACTGTGCTCACGGCCCTCGTGCTCAGCCTTGTTTACTGTTTAGACGCAAATCCTGACATCTACAACAGTCTCACTGGTGGTAGAGTGAGAAAAATGGAAATGTTCATCTTTTCAGCACACTGCAGTTGTGCTAACTTCAGGCTGGGAAAGGGCATCAGTTTTCTGTCAAACATATCAATCTAACCTTTCCCATGAAAACAAATGTTGCTCTTACGACTTATTAAACCAAGCAGAATAAAAAATATTGACCTAAATGATTAAATAAACCTCTGCAATAAAGTTGTGAGAATGTTTCTTTTAATAATACCAAGAATAAAGTTTCTCATTTGGACAACCTAGGATACACCATCATAAATACACCATAGGCTTGGGGTTTTTTCATTTTGTTTCATAGAGTCACAGAATCACAGGCTGATTTGGGTTGGAAGGAACCTAAAAGCTCATCCAGTTCCAATTGCCTGCCACAGACAGGGACACCTTCCACTAGACCAGGTTGCTCCAAGCCCTGTCCAACCTTTCTTTTTTTTCTTTCTTTTATGCTAAACTATGTCTTAGGTTAGAACTGCTAATGAAAAGATGGCATACACTTGCAGCTCAAGTATCATACATCACCATTAAGACTTTAAACACACACCCACTACTGCTGCCCAAAAATAACTCGCGTTAATGAATTTATTTAAAGTACTTGACAAAAAGCCATTTGGAAAAAGCAAAGACAGGCTCAAACATACACGTAGTTTTTAATTTTGTCTGAATTGCATCACCATTTTAAGGAAGTAAAGTTCCTTGACTTCCCATGAAATTAAATTTCTTGCTTTGATATTATGCAATACAATATGAATGCTTGTTATACCTTCGAGAAGAATAGTACCAACTTAAATTGAGATGAGTATTTTTTGATGAAAGCCAGTTCATTACACCACCTATACCAACAAATGTTGATCAAGAAATGGAAATGTTCTAAATATATAATGTATCATCTGCAGATGAATAACTGCAAGAAACAAGATCGATAAGGGCAAGATAGGGATTCACAGTTCAAATACTTAAAGAATATTTGTGCTAAGAGGATCAAAGACTTGTAGTGAGATCATGCAGCATCATGATTTCTGAGAACTACAGGCATTTAAAGATTAATTTCTGTATCTTGACTAAAGATAGGCAGTCCAGTTGTATTTTAAAATAGACTTCTGCATTACTTCATTTTGATATATAGATGTCAATTATTATAAAAGAAATACCTTCCAGTCTATCATATTCATTTTTCAGTCTGACAAAAAAAACACCTTCATTCTCTGTATTTCATCACCTGTAATGAAAATTCTACAGCTTTGACTTGTCTAATTATTAATGACAATGCTGTACTCACCAATAAAACAGAACCCGGCTCCTTTCTATTCTCAGAAAGGACTCAACCCACTACTAAAAGCTTATCTTTGCCATAAGAAAATATGCAAGGAGCAAACCAAGTAGAAAATGAGTGGAAGCATTCACCATTCGAGTAGTCTGCTTGCCTACAATGACCTAACTTCACAATGTCTGAACTCCTGCAGGGTATACTGCGAGCAAGAAATGAAGTAGCAGTTCAGGAGATTTTACAAATAGGAAACAGTCATAGACATAACTTCACTTCCCTTCACCTTATTAGCATATATTTAAGATGTAACAAAGGATCCCCAAACTTCAACACTTGTATTTAATTCATTCCTGTCATCCAAAAAATCTGGTAGAGCTGCTACACTTGCTTAACTAAACTGTCCTGTGTTGGTCCAGATTAAAACCATCTACTGTAGTAGTATTTTGCAGATGATTTATTGCTGACTTTTAATGCAATACAGGTGAAAGCAGAAGGTGGATCTTGCTATTTCTAGTTAAAAGACTACATCAGTGTTCTTATTTCCTTATATTTCTATCTTCAAGTGTATCACACAGGTTTTGTTATCTTAAATACTGATCAATTGTTTTCCTTGATGAAATATTTTTTTCTCTATCAATGTTTGTATTCCTCAGGATGCTACATTACATTACAATGGGAAATGTCCTTTGCAAATATAGCCTTTTAGCCACAGATCCTATGGGATCGGTCCCTATTTGCACTAGGTTAACCAGTCACTTCAGAAAAGGAAATGCTGCAAAAGGAAAATGTCTGAACATGGTGCTGCTACCAACTTTATCAAGACATAATGTGATAATTTTAAAACCAATCATCACTGTCAAATGGATTCAAGAAACGTTCATATTTCTGGCATGTACTACCAAATGAAACATTTAGCACTGCAAACTCGGTTTGCTCAAAATAAAGACTTCACAGTTTTATATAAGCTTTACTTTTCTTTGGATTGGAATGAAACAGGAAAGGTTCATAAAGGACACAGGCATTTATCCTCAAGAAAGGGACTGGCCTTTATTTAAAATTATGTCCTACCCCAGAGATTTTATCAACAGCAGCACATAAATCTGTCAATTTTCATCTCTATTCTGCATGGAAATTTACCTGATTCCTTTCTCTACATAGTAGTAAGGACTTATGAAAATTTGTTCAGATTTTCAGATATTAATGCTACCACAGGTCCCCTAAATTTGTTTTGCCCTGTTAATGAATCAAAATTTCCTGGTTGAATTCTACCTAACTTCATGCAGCATGTGTGGCTCCAAATTTATTCAACTTAACTTCCAAGTTCTGCTGACTCTCTTTAATGAAGCAGATGATTTAACTTAAAATCAGTCCCCTGCTCAAGAATCTTGCAATTTTCTCTAGGGTGGTTTCTTTAAGAAACAACCAGGCTGCACATACAATTACTGTCTCTTCTGCTTCTGCCCTTGCATGGCAGTGATAGCAGATAAACCTAGACCACAGGATGACAAAGTGGTCACAAAACCATTGCCTACAGAACACCAGGACTGCCTGTGACAGCTGCTCCCCAAGCCACAAAAGAAAATGAATAAAAAAAGAAAGGAAGCAGAACTCGTCACTTTAAACCTTGACTACAGTGTAACTTCAGTAATTAAGTGGTTTCTCAATCTTAGCCTAATTCCTAAGGGATCACCATAGCTGATAATAATTAGCATCTCTTTGACATTCTCTGCAGAGAGTCTCCTAAATGAATAGGTATGGAAATGAATGTGTCTCACTGATGTAGGCAATTCCTGCAAAATAGGATTAAGTCATTCTTGACAGGCAATTCAGGCAACACCACTTCTATCTATGCTGAAGTTACCCTGTACATACACACATTCTGGCCATAATCAAACATTTCTCGTAAGAAATAGATCTATTTAGATCACTCAGAGATCCAAAATCAAATATCAGTATTTACAGTCCATGTATGCGCTTCAGTGAAAGTAACAGAAATATGTCACTACTTTAATTTTAGGAAAACAGTAAGAACCGTTCTCAATTCCCTCTGTTCTGTTCTGTTTTATATTTCATTCTTTGTATAAATTTGCGTTTACTGGACCATAATCCCCTGGGGCCCTAAGGCAGTTGAGACCGCAGTTCTGTAAATTCTCTGTCAGTTAGTTACTGAGGTTTATTTTTATGAAGAATAT